TTATACGACAGGACGCGAAACTTTCGTATGCCGTCTCATCCCTAAATTGCAGTATAATCATGACTGTGGTGCATATCAGTCAATCTTGCCACCTTCACCCATTCTTTTCTCTTCAAGTCTCGTGGCAAGTGCAGAACGCGGTGAAGAGAAAAAAATAAAAGGAATGATGAAGAGAAAAAACAGGCACAGGATTCTTCATATAGTCATCGACATAGCAAAAATTCATTAGAGGTCTACCATTTAGCGTATCTTTATCTTTTCCTTGATGTCGCATGTAGAGATCTGTATGTCAAACATAAGGATACGTACAGAAAGGAAAGCATAATCTGCATGCGACATCAAGAAAAAGATAAAGATACACTAAATAGTAGAGCTCTTTTGTAAAAGGGTTATTCACATGCGGCGCATGTAGTCAAAAGAAGAACGAAAAAAAGAATGGAAATAGAAAAATTCTTAGCTTTAGACGAAAAATGAGTCATCCTTTGTGAATAACCGTTTGGAACAATGAATTTTTGCTATATCGGTGACTAAATAGATCAAGAAGATGAGTCATCCTTTGTGAATAACCGTTTGGAACAATGAATTTTTGCTATATCGGTGACTAAATAGATCAAGAAGATGAAATAAAAGATGCAATATACGCTACATGTCTAATATGGATGATAGAAAAAACAAAAGAAATGAAAAATGTTGAACTTGTTTTTGAATAGAGTTGAACGAAATTAAACGGTAAAACGTGTGTTGTGTTTCTTATGTCATTAAAAATACGATAAATAGATAAATTTTTTTTGGAAGAACTGTCTTAGATTATTACAATGTATTGCATTACATGGATAAGACTCGTTCCTCAGTGTGGGGTCAGGGACCTGTTTCTTAAAAAAACTTAAGTAGAAAATCTTACTTAAGTCCAAAAAAGTCTTTGTCTTTTTTGACTTAAGTAAGATTTTCTACTTAAGTTTTTTTAAGAAACAGGCCCCAGTACATGCTTAGAATCGTACAGCTGATATTAAAAAATAAAAATACTTTTTGACAGTGCACAGATAATTCAAACTAGATAATCTAATAGAACTAGGTTTAGGCTTTAAGGATCCTTCAGAGGCTATAGTAAACTTCGTCGGTTTCTATCAAATTTTTTGTTAGTCTTGTATGAAACAACAGGATATGATGTTATACCGCGTCTAAAGTTCTTCACAAAATTTGTAGAAAACTTTTAGATGTTTCTTCATTTCTAAGTTGGTAACAAATTGTCGAAAGATTATCTTGACCGGTACACTGTAAGAAATATTATCTGCGGCGGCTATGTGTAAAACAGAATTCAAAGGAACAATGATTCTTCTCACTATAGCGTTTTTTTATGGCATACTGTAATTTTGAAAGTTAATCAATGATGCCGAAAAATAATCACTCAACTCCACTTAAGTTTTATAGTCTCAAACAGCACATTACCGTTAGAAGTGAAAGTTGCATACTGATAGAAGAATATTAGAACCTGGAAACCTTGAAATCCATCTCATTATCTTGAAATCATCATGCGTACGAATAAATACGTAGTCCTAACTCAGTTCAGGAAAGGAGCAGTTTTGTTCTCTCTCTCTCTCTGTCTCTTTGAAGACGACAAAGAGACTACCTGAAATTGATATTATTCAATGTTGTATCTAAATTAGTCGTTTAATTCTCTCTGGTAGTAGAAATGATCATTTCATATTTGTTCTCACAGTAATATTTCCTGTTTTCATTTGATCTTACATATAATAATCAACGTAAACAAGGCAGGATTGATAAACAAGATGAAAATTCTAAACCCTCTATTTAGTTTTTCAATTATGATTCAGTTTGCTTAATTTTAACACTTTCACTGCCGTGGCTGCCATTTGGTAGCTTCCGTTATGTTCGTACCTTGCCGACAGCACCATTTGACGCTCTCTAATATACTAAATCTTAATGGTCGGTCAGTTTCCTGTCGATTGTTGATGGATGCGTTTCATACTTTATCCACTTCTTAGTAAAAGTCCACGAAAAGTGGTTTTATTTGTGGTTTTAGAATTTAGTGTTTTTATCACATTTTACTACTCTTTGAAATATGATGGGAGACTTGAACTATTCAACTTCAAAAACTAAAAGTTATCTATGATAAAACTAATTAATAGACTATCAATTTGAAACAAAATTGATACAAAATACAGAAAAAGTTATCGGCATCAGTGGAAGGTTTTGCACTAAAATCGGTAGTGAAAGTATTAATTCAAAATTATGTATTTTAGATTATGTCAGATAGATATTTACGTTTGGAATCTTTATCAAATGAATTATTTTATCTCATATTTGTCTATTCGTCATCAAGCGACATTATTTACTCATTTTCTGGTCTTAATTATCGTTTTGATGCACTCATCTATCCGTATAAATGTATCATCGATTTATCGCATATAACTGCATTCATACGCGATTCAATTTTACCACAGATATACGACACAATTGAAGAATTAAAACTTGATGGCAAACAATTATCACATATCATTCCATCATCAACAACAACAACTATTCGTGATATTTGCCATAATTTAACATCATTATCAATAATAAACATTGAAAAAAATAGTCACTATTTGCCATATTTGAATTTATTCAAACAATTTTTGATTTTAAAACTTTATTTTATTAATCAAGCATTTATTAGTAAAAAGAAATTGGATACCATTTCTTCAACTCTATTTTCCTCTAATTCTGTAGTAGAAACATTATTTATTGATGGTCTTACTTTTTGCATTGACAAACGAAAAATTACACCATGTCATAGTTTAAAACATTTAACGATTGATGTTCTCTATCAAGATGATATGTTTATTTTATTAAATCAATTACCATCTATTGAATATTTAAAAATATTTATTCGAGACGGGACAGCAGCAGATGACTACTATGATTATGAAAATACATATCCTATTCTACAACATTTAAAAGAATTTATTTTATCTTCAAAACATACGATTTGCTATGATCAAATTGAACCACTATTACTACACTGTCCTAGTCTAAATAATTTATCGTTAAATTTGAATCTTGATCAATATATTAGTGCAAAAAAATTAGAAAAATTGATTAAAATATCAAAACTCGATTTTCATTTACGTATGCCAGAAATGCGTAAAAAAACAATTGATACATATGTGAACAAATTTAAAACATCCACTTGGCTCAATCATCCAGTCATATTTTATTCATTTCTAATAAATTCTTGTCTTCGTTCATTGCCATTTAAAGAATATTATCTACATGTTTCGAATCAAATTGTTGAATATCTGTCAAATATATCAGATATTTCACTGTATAAAGAACAACATAAAACAAAAATTATTTGGCTTCATGATATGTTGTTAACATATGAATTAATTCAATTTATTAAATTAAATTTTCCCAAATTGAGAGAATTAAGTTTAATGGCTTGTCGTTTTGATCAATCATTAATGGATGATATTAATTTTAAAATGGAAAGTGTTCATCATGTATTTATGAGACGATACAATCTTGATTTTAAATATTTTAAAAAATTATTGTTAATGATGCCAAATATTAAAGAACTTCGTGCAAAGTCTGGTGTATTATTATCAGTAGTTGATCAATTCATGGAAGATGAAGAACTTCGACCCATTTGTAAACAAATAGAAAAGATAATTATTGATGAATATCAAGAAGCATTAGACAAAAATATTGACAATGAAATGAAACGAGTGTTTCCAAATGCTTTTGTTGATAAAACGAAAACCGGTAAATCTCATTAAAAACACCTTTTTTTAGTGTGTATCTTTTTGAAATTGAAAATAAATACAGATGATAAAATAATACTTCAACTTTGTTGTATTTCTGAGATCATTTCTGCATTACACAGTACTGTAATTCAACAATTGACTTTCTTCTCCATTATTATTAACGGGTGATTCAGAAATAAACGGACTCTTTTAATTTTGCTATAACCCATGTAAATTTTTTCGAGTCGTAGACGCGTCTGAAAACGCGTTTTATCCTGCGTTTAAGTCGCTCAAATATGCACCCTTTTGATGCGACTAGACGCGTTTTATCCTGACGCGTTTAAACGCGCATGATGTAGACGCGTCCTAACGCGCTTTTATAGAATATGACGCGTTAAGACGCGTCCAGTACTGACGCGTCTAAGTACGCCGAATCT